ATCTATAATTATCATTATCTAGTGAATTATTTATTTATTTTTGTTATTATTATTTATTTATTTTAGTTTGACACGAGAGAGAGAAAGAGAAAGTAAGAAAGCAAGCTGCCAGGTCCAGGACTTGAATCATGGTTGGCCAGGAGGGAGTCTAGCTGCGGAAGGCCACATATTGGATCTTGCACATGAGCAACCGTTCGTCCATTTTGTTCCCTTACCCTAACATGACTGCTTCTGTGAACCTGCTTGCTCTTCCCATGAGAAAATAGCTTGTGCTAGCCATACACAAAACTGCATCCGGGATGACACCCTATACCTGCTACTGTCTTTGCTACCTAGCCCGAAACCCTTTTGTTTAGCAATGTAACTGCTTGCATGGAAACCCCACTCCCCTCAGAAATAATTAACCTGCTTGAGTCAGCTTCTGTAACTGATTGCATAGAACCCCCTGGTAACTGCCCCCCTAGAAAAAGACTACTAAGACTTTGGTTGGGGTTGCAGTTCTGACTCTCACCCCCGAGCCTCAGGCTGTGGTCACTGGCCAGCTAATAAAGGCTCCCTTTAACCTTAATCTGGCTTTGGTGGTCACTCATTTGGTTGCACTCTACAATACAACATCTTAACCACCTGCCACCTGCCAGCCCATTATTATTATTTTTTATTTATTAATTTATTTTTTTTAACATTAATATGCTATACATCATTACAGTATACAAAATGAATTTTTCATCCAAAATACACTGTCTGTTGGCTCAATCAAGCACATCAACATACGTGTTATCAGCAAACAATTTTTCATTTCTTATGTCTTGTATATTTTGCAGGTTTTTTTTTTTTTTTTGCCATCCTTGATTCCCTATCCCTAACCCTCTGCCCTGTCCAACCCTCCTCCTCCCATTGTCTCTGGTATTCATGCGATCTAGCCATTTTGGGAGAAAGGAAGATGTCCCACTGATAACTGGGCCTCCAGCATACAAAACTCGCATGAACAGCCCTTCTTCAAGAGACAGTCAGCCCCATTATTATTTTTTAAAAATTTGCTACAGGACATGCACACTTACCAGAGAGAGATGGGGAGAGAGAGAAAGAGAGGGAGTAAGAGAGAGAGAGACAGGGAGAGAGAGAGAAAGTGAGAAAGAAACTCAGCACATCTGAGACTCAAACCACAGTCGGCCATGTGGGAGTCCAGCACCTCAACCACCACACCACCTGCTGGTCCCCCTTAGATGTGATTTTTAACATAGATGTGCTGTAGATTGTATAGTAATTTCAATAAATAATATATTTTAGAAAGTTTTTTGCTATAGGGCACATGTGCTCACTAGAGAGACAGAGAGAGAGACAGACAGACAGACAGAAAGTGAGAAATCCCCCCCCCCCCCAGGGAGGGGGATGGTCATGCTGCAATCCCTCCTTCCCCATTCTCCTCTCAGGATTTTGGGCACACATGCACACACACCTGGCAGGAGTTGAAGCTCCTGGGTCTGAGACTTGAACTGCAGTTTGTCATGTGGGAGTCCAGTGATGTAACCATTACACCAGCTGCTGGTCCCTCAATAATAATTTAATAAGGAGAAAGTAACTGATAACTGGATTTCACCAAGTATGGAATTTGTACTAATTTGTGCATCAGAAGCACATGAGACTCACCCCCGGTTCTTCTGCACAGATAGAACCACTTGATACTTTTATATGTTTCCTTCTAGTCATTTTTATGTTCCTATGCTTCTGTTACGAGACAGAGAGGATATGTTTATAGTTTTAGTATTCCACTGCTTCTACTAAACATTCTATCATTGTATCATTGACTATTTTTGAAACACAGTTTTTCATATTATTCAGTTGTATATATGAGCTATAATTTATTTAGCTATTCCCCCATTTAGGATGTGGGGGTTATCCCTGTGTTTCACTTTTGAAATAACTATTGTGATGAGATAGGGTGCATATTTAAAAAAAACAAGCAAACAAACGAACAACAACAAAAAAAAAACCCTTTCTCATTTAAAGTCAGGATTGACTGGTTGTTTTGAGTGTTTCTAAATTCTCCAGGCACCCCCCACCTCATTTTATATTAAAAAGCTTGCGGGCCAGCTTGTGGTGTAGTGGTTAAGGCGGCTGGATCCCACATGGCCTCCTGTGTGGTTGGAGTCCTGGACTTTGGTGGCTTGTGAAATGCCAGCCACTTGTGCGTGTATGCCCAAAATCCTCACAGAAGAATGGAAGAGAAGGGTTATGGCCTGGCTGTCTCCTCTGGGGGTTGCTTTCTCTCTCTCTGTCTCTGTCTGTCTCTCTGATGGGTACATGCACCTTATAGCAAACTCAAAAAAAAAAGGGAAAGTTTGCTCACCACTGTGTTCAAAGACTCCTCTCTATCCCTCTTGGATATACGAGTCCTTAATCAGGATTTAATGAACATATTTATATAAACATCAAAAGCCATGGGAAGCTGAAATTTGGAAGGAGCTCCGCTAGCTGGTGTGCACTGACGGCCTCCCCCTGGCTACTGTTCCTTGTGTTCTTTGTGAACTTGTGCTACTGTTGCTATCATCCTGGCAACTCTCAGATTTGTGTGCTACAATCCCTAAACCCTAAATCGGGAAAATGCTAGTAGATTATATGTAATCCAGGAAACAGATACCCATGTAAGAGAGTTTTGTTTGAGGGCCTTTTCCTTGTAAAATATCTTAAGCTTTCAAAAGCTCTAAAAATCAGCTAAGCATCTTAGGTAAGAGAGTAAATTAACCTCCTATGTTGGTTTATTTATAGCAGAAGCCAGATAGCTTTCAGATAAAATGTAACACCCCCTCCAACTTCCTAAATTGAAATGAAAAATTGTCTACTGTCTTTTGTTCTGATATATCATCTTTTTTTTTTTTGAGAGGTTTTTACGCTATAGGGCGCGTATGCTCGCCAGACAGAGACAGACAGAGAGACAGAAAGAGAAAAATCATCCCCCAGGGGGGATGGCCATGCCGCAATCCCTTCTCCATTCTCCTCTTGGAATCTTGGGCACGCACGCACACTCGCCTGGCATGAGTTTTAAGCTACCGGGTCCGGGACACGAACTGCGGTCGACTACATGGGAGTCCAGTGACATAGCCATTACGCTAACTGCTGGTTCCCAAGATATATCATGTTTTAAAAAATTATTTTATTTAACTCTTTATTTATTTATTTTAATTTGACGAGACAGGGACACAGATAAAGAGAGGGAAAATGAGAAAGCAAGATGCCTGCTCTGGGACTCAAACTATGGTCGGCCATGTGGAAGTCCAGTGTCCTTAACCACCATGCCACCTGCCATCATCCCCCTCCCTTTTTTTTTTAAGAGATATTTTTGCTATAGGGCACATGTGCTTGCCAGAGAGGCAGGGAGACATAAAATGAGAAATCACCGCCAAGGGGGGTGACCGTACTGTCATCCTTTCCCTTCCATTTGCCTCTCTGGGATTTGGGGCATACATGTGCATGTGCCTGGTGTGTTTTAAGCAGCCAGGTCAAGACTTGAACTGCGGTTGACTACATGAGAGTCTAGCAACTTGACCATTACACCCTTTGCTGGTCCCCTCAAACATCATCTTATCCATTATCAATTGAACTGAATGTATTTTTTACCTTTTTGAGAGGGAAAAAATGTTGTCAAATACTGTTCAATTATGACAACAACAAAGATATTTTTCTTTTTTGGAGAGGCTTTTTGCTATAGGGCATGTGCGCTCGCCAGAAAGACAGAGACAGACAGAAAGCGAGAAATCACCCTGGGGGGATAGTCACGCCGCAATCCCTTCTCCTCCATTCTCCTCTCGGGATCTTGGGCACGCACGCACACGCGCCTGGCATGAGTTTTAACCTACCGGATCCGGGACACGAACCGCAGTCGACTACATGGGAGTCCAGCGACATAGCCATTACGCTAACTGCTGGTCCCCCCCAAAATTTTTAAAATACTTCAATGGCATGGAACCCAAAATAAATACATTGTAAAAAGTTTGAAGGGTCTTAAAAAAATTCCTGACAAAATTTTTTCTCTCCAATTTAATTTTATTCTTGGGTTGGACTTAAAATAGAAAGGGCACATGACCAAACAGATAATATCAGTAACCTTGAAGTAAACATCCGGTTTTCACCAAGGTATGCAAGCAATCTGATCCTGAAATGCCTTAAATGAGCGTAGTTTAAATTCACAGGAAATTTAATGTTCAGGATAGAGATGAACACCACCTTTTCACCCTATATGCATATACTAGTGAGCAAGCTTTTATTTTATTTTTAGATTTTTTTGCCATAGGACACTTGCACTCACCAGCGTGGGGCAGAAAGAGACACAGAGAGAGAAGGAAAGTGAAGATTCCAGCCCCCCTTCCCCACTTCCTAGGGAATGGCCACTTCGTAGTCCCCTCTCCTCTATTCTCTTCTTGGATTTGGGGCCCACATGTACACGTGCACCTGGCATGATTTTCAAGCTGTAGGATCAGCCATGTGGCATCCAGTGCCTAAGCTAGCATTATTATTTTGGCTTTTCTTAGCCTCTAGTACATTTCTTTTTCTGTTAAAGTTTCATTATAGGCCAGTACATTCATCTTAAAGTTTTTTATATTATAGATCTTACATACAAATATCTCCTGTCTGTTATGAAGTGATCATTATGATATTAATAGTTCAGTTACAATGACAAGCAAGTAACTTTAGGAAGTGAACTTTAGTATAATAAGTGTCTTGCCTTAAATGACATAATCGAGGTATTTTTACTAGGAGGCCTTTGGGTCTGAACCTGGCAGGTACAATAATAATTTAAAAACGCTGCATACCGACCTTAATAGCATCTGGAAGACCTTGATTTCTGTCCTCATCATTCATATCTATCAGGAGACGCTACATACGCGCTTCCGGAGGGCGCCGCCAGGTGGCGCGTAACCGCAGCCGCTTCCCCAATGCAGCCCCGGAGCGCTCTCTTCCCTCCTCTCGTTCACCTCAGTTTCCTCCGGAAGTGGCTCCGTCAGTTGTTGTCTTCCCGTATTTAGAGTTCCAGCGACTGGTGAAGTCTAGGCAGCCGGCGGTTCGGCTACGTACGTGGTGAGGGAGCTGAAAACTCCGCTTTCACTCGGGAGGACGAGATGGACGTTCTAAAATCGGAAATCCTTCGGAAGCGGCAGCTGGTGTAGGACAGGAATCTGCTGGTGGTGAGGGTCCTTGGGGCGATTGGGGGCCGAAGAGGTGTGTTGTGCGTGTGTGTGTGTGTGTGTGTGGGGGGGGCTGGAAAGGATTCAGGGAGGGGATGGGGCGAGACGAGAGCCTTCCGCCCTCCGAGGAGAGTCCCTTCTTATCCACACCTCGGCACCTCACTCGGGATGGGAGTGTGGGAGTCTCAGGGAACCCCGAGGTGTTGGCACCCCCTCCCGCCCCGTCCCCCAGGTGTCCCAGTTCTCTGTGCCGTTTACCTGACTGCCCCCAGCAGGCTGCCATCTGTTGGTATTCTTTGGCATGTCTCGGCCATTCTTACGGCTCACTCCTGTGATCCAGGACTTGTGCCCATCTGAAACCGAAATGGCAGCCTCAGAAATCAGCCCTCTTTAAAAGTTCCTATTCTTAAAAGCCAATCTTTTAGTTTTATTTTCTGCTTTTCTCTTCCCCCGCACATACGAAGTCTGTAGTTCAGCTCTTAGAAGGCTAAGATTTTCGGAGAAATACTGATATAGACAAGAACGAATTACGTGATTTAGGAACGTTCTTACGTTGATTTCTATTGCTTAATTGCATAACATAGACGGCGGTTCTCAAAGCCTTTGGTCTAAGGACTTCTTTACACTCTTAGAAGTTATTGAGGATCCCAGGGAGCGTCCATGAGTTTCATCTTTTCATAACATATTAGAAGTTAAAACTGAGAAACTTAAATATATATATTCATTGATCACTTGGAAATTGGTTCAGTTGGTTCACTGATTTATGCAGGTTTCCCCCATTGTTGATACATTGTATTACATTTTTAAACAGCCGCTGATACATGAATCCTGGCTAAGTATTGGGGAACCATCAAGCTGGTAACACTTTCAATTCTCCCTTGAAAACTGAAGTCCTGTCATAGGCAACAGATATTCAGTTGGTTTCCTGATGATAGTCTCACTTTGTTCAGTTGTGTGAAATTGTCTGCGGAATATTCGTCTGAGGAGCCTGTCAGGTATTCTTGCATGTGAGAAAAGAAGCTAGTGGAGTTTGCAATCAGTTGCACAGTTTGGTTTTCCTACAGACATCTGGCATACTTTGGTATAAATAGAAAGTACATTATGTATACTTCCTGTCTTGTCACACAGGACATTAACGGATGTGTCAAGGATCAAGACTTAATAGACTTAATGATTTGAAGACTTCGTCGAGTGAAGTCATCATCCAGCTAAGTGAACCTGGCTCCCTCCAAAGGCAACGTCAGTTTAGGTTCTCTGCCTTGGTGCTCGCCAGGGCTTCAGCAGACTTCGCATTGCTTTTCACTCCCAGTGCAGGTGTCAGCAGAGGGAATAGGCTAACTGATGCTTACCAGGGGATGGGGATTTTTCAGCTCCATTTCAATCCTTTCGGACCACTGTCATCTATGACAATGTATATATGTATTTTTTTTTAGCAGAACTGTTCTTTTTTACAGCCAGTTACTTAAATAGATTCTAATTTATTAATAAATAAATCTAATTCATTCTGTTATTTGATACAGTCTGACTTGTGTCTCCATCATGCTGAATCCACTTTGACAGGGATATGAGAGACCTCCAGGTCTTTACTCCTCTGACAGCATTCGACAGTGTTCCCTGGTCTTCCACTTTTCCCTGGGCATCTTTTCTACCACAGCAGCTTTATTCTTGATCTTCTTTAAAGGCTGCTACTGCTGTTGCTTTTGTTATTGCTGTTTCTAGTATGTTGGTTTTCCTTAAAGTTAAGAACTAGCCTTCCCCCGCCCCCAGGTCGAATATTCTTTTTCTAACCCTATATTCACCTCTATGGTTTCAGTTACCATTTATATTGGGAGATCTAATTGAGGCCTTGGGATAGACTTCAGAGTATCCATCAGGTTTTTGAAATTTTATGTACAGTTTAGCACGTTCGTATGTACATGCCTCTCTCCCTCTCACCCTGTGTATGACTTCTTTCGAGGGAGCTTTGACTCAAGAAGGTTGGTGCTAGCTGTGACTCCCAGATGTCTGGCCATCCCTCCTTGCACTGTGTTCCAGCACTGCTGACTCTCTTTCATTCCTGCAGTTCTTTGAGTTTGCTTCCCCCTCACATACACTTTTCATCCTTTTACTTGAAACAGTCTTATGTTAGGTCATCGGGAAAGTCATGAAATATTTTTCTGTTTTTTTTTTTTTTTTTGAGAGATTTTTACTATAGGGCGCGTGTGCTCACCAGACAGACAGAAAGAGACATAGAGACAGAAAGTGAGAAATCACACCCCAGGGGGGATGGTCACGCCGCAATCCCTTCTCCTCCATTCTCCTCTCGGGATCTTGGGCACACACGCACACACGCCCGGCGTGAGTTTTAAGCCACTGGATCTGGGATGCGAACCGCGGTCGACTACGTGGGAGTCCAGCGACATAGCCATTACACTAACTGCTGGTTCCCTTTTTCTGATTTTTAAATGCAAAAATGCATCATGACCTTCCCAATGACCCAAAATAATTATTTTCAGCTCCTCTTTTTCTGTGGTAGACAGTGAGGATCCTTTGAAAGTTTTTACTGTTACTAAAAAGCAGTGTTGTGAGGAGTTTCTTGCCATGTTGATACTGTATTGTGTGATGTACTAACAAGAGAATTTTTTCTTTAACATCTTACTGTGAAAATTTTCAGTTGCACACAAAATGTGAAAGAATTTAAATTATTTGAATACTCTTCTGCCTGTCACCTAGAGTGCACAGTTAAATCTGGAATCAACATATTACTACATTTGCTTTATCACATAACTCCCTCTCTCTCCATCAGTCAGTTTGTTAATCTGTATAGCAGTGCACGTCAGAGTAGTTATACCAGGCAGGACATTTTAAGACAGGTGATATTAACTTCTTCACAGTTTGACAAAGAGGCACTCATAAACTATGTGTTAGTAATTTCAACTATCACAGATTAACGATAGAAAGTTAGAACACCACTTGAAATGATCAAAGATGAGGTGGCCCTTTTGGAGGAGCAACACCATGTGGACAGGTATGTTTCAGCTAAAGAAAGGGTGATCAGGACAGTTTACTAATCGTTATATGTTCCACATCAAGCTGCAGACATCAGTGCGCCCTACTCCTTAACAAAGAGAGATTTTTTTAAAAAGAGAGATTTTTGCTATAGGGTGCTTGTACTCATCAGAGAGAAAAAAAGTGAGAAATCACACCCCTTCTCCCCCAGGGGGAGGGGATGTGGCCACGCTGCAGTCCCTTCTCCTCCAGTCTCCTCTTGGGATCTTGGACATGTATGCACATGCATCCGGTGTGAGTTTTAAACCACCAGGTCCTGTACTCAAATCGTGGTCAACTGTAGGAGTCCAGTGATATAACCATTATGTCATCTGCTGGTCCCAGCATTTACACTGTTAACTTGAATTCTTATCCTGCAATGAGGTTTGACAAATGCATATGTATACCTGTATGTTGAGTCAATTTTTTGTATGACATTGGGTAGGAGTTGTGGTTTGTTTTCCATACAGATAGCAATTATTATCACCACCATTTGCTGAAAGTATTTTTTTCCCCTACTTGGATAATTTTGGCATCTTAATCAGAAGTCCCATAACTTTGTTAAGTGTGTTCCCATACTAAGTGCCTTATGTCAGTTTAGTGAAGTATTTGTTGATCCTATGCCACACTGTTGTGATTACTGTAGTGTTTGGTAAGTCTTAAGTCAGGTACTGTAACTAACATCACCACTACTACTACTTATTTCTTCTCTGTCTTTTCTTCCCCTCCTTCCTTTCACCTTGTCCTCCCTCCCAGTATTTCCAATTTTTCTTGTTTGTGGTTTATTTTTAAAAGCAGTTTTGGTGAGCTGTAACTGACCTACGGTAAGCCACACAGATTTAAAGTGTAAACTGTGTGTTCTGACACATGAGTAAACGCCCATCAGCACAGTGAGCACCCTGCACAGGTGTCCTTAAGCCTCTTTGTAATCCCTGCCACTGGCCCCTCTCCTTATCCTTTCTACACCCTGTCCGTGGGCATCCACTAGGTCTGCTTTCTTTTACTTTAGTTTGCATTTTTTAGAATTCAATGTGAATGCAATCATTTAATATGTTCTCGAGCTTGTATTCAGCGTGATATTTTTGAGATTCAGTGACATCACTGAAAAAATACATTGCCTAGCTACCAGGATTCATTGACACTTGATTCTTTCATTTTGAAAAGTCTATTTCTCTTTGTGTGTTCGTGTGTGTCCTGCTATTTGGTATATTGCTTCAGGCTCTTTAAGGCTTATCTTCATTCTTCAACAAGGATGTTGACCCTGCCATGTGGCCTGTGATTTGCTTTGTATGTGCACGTTGTATATGTGTTACCTCCCCATATCTTTTTGCAGAACTTTTGCTGATGCTCGTATTCCATTTATATAATCACTAAAAAACTTACCGTGATTGAAGAAATGATGATTTTAAATAAATGTTGGCATTCACAGTTATGTTATTTGCAACTTTTGATTTTTCTTCCTCGATGTGGGCAGACATTGCAGGTGATGTGGTAGGAAGGTTTGTGTACTGTAGGCTTAGGAATCTCAGTTTTGTAATCCAGAAGGTACAAGATGGACAGAGTCCAAGGAAAACATTTGTAAAGCAGCATGTGGGAATTAGGTTGTATCTTCAAAAGGAGAAACATTTTTTATGTTTCTTTTCATACCCTTTTCTGTTTTTTTTTTTTTTAAACTTGTCAGGATTAAAGAAATGTTAAGTGCTTTAAGAGAGAGTCCAAGGTAATTTAACCGTCTTTGTATGCTGTCTTAAAATATATACCAGCCACTTCTAGACTTGTGTCTGTAGGACTGTATTGTACATTGTATAGGTAATCCAACAAACTTTAGTTGAAAAGTTGCTAGTATAGATAGGAAAATAAATTTGTAAAATGAGTGAGAGTCATGAAGTTAATCTTGGCTTCATTACTAGATGACTCTTTCACTTAAGGTAAATATCAGTGCTGCATAAATTACTTACGAAGAGGTTACATTACCAATACTTAAGTTCTTTTTTTTTTTAAGTTTACTAATTGTATTCATGAGAGATAAAGAGAGACATACACTTGGCGGACAGGGTCTTGTCATGCTAGAGTCCCCTTTCTCTAGCCCTCCAGCTCTGAATCGGAGTTTGGGGCACACATGCACCTGGTGTTTTTGCAGGTGAAATTGGGATCTAACCCCTTGGTCAGCCATGTGGCTTCCATTACTGCAGTTCAATAAACTACTGCTTGTGCCAGTATCCCAGTGCTTAAGTTTTACAATGCTACCATTTTGGGGTGAGCAGATGGTATAATGGTTGTGTCACTAGTTGTGTTGCGTGCCCAAGATCCTGAGAGGAGAATGAAGAAGGCATTGTGGCGTGGCCATCCCTTCTGCTGGGTGATTTCTCCTTTTCTGTCTCTGACTCTCTCTGTCTCTCTGGTGAGCACATGTGTCCTATAGCAAAAAATCTCAAAAAAATTAATGAAGTGAAATGCTATCATTTTAATTTGTCATAAATGTATCTACCCCATTGTGTGTGTGTGTGTGTGTGTGTGTGTGTGTGTAGACACACACATATATATAGACACAACCATCATTGATAAAGCAACTATATATATATTATACACACACACACACACACACACACACACATATATGTATATATAGTAATTGGTAAAGCCATGATGCATTTTTAACAATTAATTAATTAATTAATTAATTGTAATTTGACCAGAGAGGGACAGATCAAGAGAGAGAGAGGGAATGTGAGAAAGCAAGCCGCTAGGTCTAAGACTCGAACCATGGTTGGCCATGTGGGAGTCTGGTGCCCCTAACCACTATACCACCTGCTGGTCCCCATGATGCATTTTTTAATAGAAAAACATAGAAAAATACTTCATGACTTTGCTGATGACTATATATATCTTTTTTTTTTTTTTTTAATTTGCCAGAGGGCACATGTCGCTTGCTGGAAAGAGAGATGAGAGAGAGAGAGAGAGGGAAAATGATAAAGCACCCCACAGGGAATGGTCATACTGTAGTTCCTTCTTCATTTCTACATCTTTTGGGGGTTGTGGGCATGTGTGCACATGTGCCCAACGTTTTTTTCAAGCTGCGGGCCTGAAACTCTTCAGCCATATGAGGTCGAGCTACCTTAACTACCATACCACCAGCTGGTCTAAGCACCTTATGTTTTAAAGTATATTTTTATTGTACACTTGGCTTTCTTTATCTGCAGATTCTACACCTGTGATTCTGAATCTACAGAGTCAGCCAAATACGGACCAAAAATAATTACAAAATAAGAAATAACCATACAATAGTAAAAGTAATAGAAATTTAAAAATATAGTTTAATGGAACCAGCACATGGCATAATAGTTACTTCTCTGGACTCCTCACTTAGTTGTTTGTGGTTTGAGTCCCAACCCTGCAGCTTAAAACTCATGCTGCGCCATGTATGTGTGTGTGTGAGTGTGTCCAAACTCCTGAGAGGAAAATGGAGAAAGTATTGTGGTGTGATATGCTTGCTCCATTGGGTGGTGCTTTCTTCCTCCTGACCTCTGCTCTTGTCTCTTTAGGGTGACTGAGCATACCCTCTGAGAAATTATTAAAAAAAAATCACTATTTTGAATTGCCTTTCTTTCTTTCTTTTTTCTTTCTTTTTTAAAGAGAGATTTTTGCTATAGGACGCATGTGCTCACCAGAGAGACAGAGAGACAGAAAGTGAGAAATCATACCCCCTTGCCCCTCCCCCCACCCCCAGGATGGCCACACCACCATCCCTTCTCCTCTGTTTTCCTCTCAGGACTTTGGGCATGCATGCACAGATGCCCAGCATGCTCAGGCACCCAGCTAGAGTTTTAAGCCGCCAGGTTCGGGACTCGAACCACAGTCCCCTATGTGGGTGTCCAGCAACATAACAATTACACTATCTGCTGATCCTGAGTTGATTTTTCTATAAACGGTTCTTTTATTTCTAAAGAAATTAATAAAAAAATAAGTTTCTTGCTAATAGATTGTAAAGTTCAAAGCATACTGAATATGTACAATAAATAACTTCCTTCTTACCCCTGTCCCCTTGCTGCCCAGTCCCCCTTTCCAAAGCTGCCGATGGTCTCAGTTTTTGTGTCATACATATAAAAGCAAATGTGGAAAAAAAGCAAATATATGTACCCTTTTTAAAATATGCATGGTAGTATGTTAAATCTACTCTGCTGCACTTGCCTCTTTCACTTATTAACTTATGAAAGCACCTTAATTTTTAAAAATTCTCCTTTAACAGAAATTGACAAAATTCTGATATCAAACACTAACGGGAGGAACTATGATAACTATTATGAAAGACACTGAAAAATAAAATCATTACAGAGAATGATGTATTAATACATTGTAATAAACTGGAAAATCTAAGTGAAGTAAATGACTAAAAAATAAAAGAAAAAAGAAAATCTGAACAAACCAGTGAAGAAGAAATAAGAAGAGCTGTCTACAGAGAAGAAAGTTATTAAAGAAGAAAAGAATTAGCAGTTCAATTGAAGATTGACTGAGATCAGTCATAATAGTGTCTTTGTATACCTTACACATTATTAATGACCCCAAAAAGGGTCTTTTAGTGAAACAATAACAGACACCCAGGGGCCAGCAGGTGCCCCTGGTAGTTAAGGTGCTGGACTCCCACATGGCTGACTGTGGTTTGAGTCCCAGACCTGGCAACTTGAAACTCATGCCAGATGTGTTTGCATGTGTGCATGCCCAAAATCCAGAGAGGAGAATGGAAAAGAAGGTATTGTGGTGTGGGGTTGGGGGTGATTTCTCATTTTCTCTCTCCTTATCTCTCTGGCAAGCACATGCACCCTATAGCAAAAACTCTCTCTTAAAAAAATAAAGAATAGACACTCAATTCTTAGGGATCTGCAATGAGAATTGGAGGTGAGAATGCAGAGACAGTAGAAAAAACACTTTTATGTAGTCCTGGTTTAAGTAGTACTTGGTAGACTAAAGAGGTTTTCCGTTAAAGTTGGAGAATCTTTTTTGCTTTTCTTTTTCTTTCTTTCTCTTTCTCTCTCTCTCTCTTTTTTTTTCCTTCTGTTTGGTTTTGCTGTAGGATGCCATAAGGGAAGGTCCTGAGTTCACATCCCTAAGTATTCTTGTACATGCTGGATGTGTACATGTACCCGTGATTGTGTTGGCTGAGGATGAGGGTGAAGACTCTGTTAGGAGTACTTATCTCTCTCTCTCTCACTCTCTCTCATGGTAGAAATACACTTAAAAAAAAAATCCAAATACTGGGGCCGATAGGTGATGTGGTGTTTAAACGGATTAAATTAATCCATGCTGGATTCCCACATGGCTGACTGTGGTTTGAGTCCCAGACCTGGTGTCTTTCTTTTTCACTTTCTCTTTCTGTCTCTGATCAAATTTAAAAAATAATAACAATAACAAATGGAATTAAATAAATAACTTTTTAAAAAATCCAAATACCTTTCAAATATCTTTTTATAAAAAGATTCATCAAGACCATTCTGTATCTAGGTTATTTTAGGGACTGGTTCATATAATAAGATTGCAGATAACAAAATAATTTAGACTTACTCTTAGAGCTCTTTTGTTAATGGGATTTCAGATATTGGTTGTAGATGCCATAATTTTTTTTTTTTTTAAAGAGGGGTTTTTGCTATAGGGCATGTTTATTCACCAGAGAGACAGAAAGCAAGAAATCACCCCCCAGGGGGATGGTCATGCTGTAGTCCCTTCTCCTCTATTCTCTTCTTGGGATCTTGGGAGCACACACACATGTGCCTAGTGAGTATTAAACAACCCAGTCTGGGACTTGAACTGTGGATGACTATGGTTTCAGCAACGCAACCATTATACCATCTGCTGGTCCCTGCTGGTCCCTGTGCCATAATTTTTATGTGATTGTTTTCATTAAGAGAAGATAAAGTATACTATTTTATGTAGTTCATATGAACCCATTTGTAAAAATTATTATTATTTTTTTAGAGGTTTTCGCTATAGGGCACGTGCACTCACCAGACAGACAGAGAGAGACAGAGAGATAGAGAGACAGAAAGTGAGAAATCACCCCCCAGAGGGGATGGTCACGCTGCAATCCCTTCTCCTCCATTCTCCTCTCGATATCTTGGGCACGCACGTACACGTGCCTGGCGTGAGTTTTAAGCCACCAGGTCCGGGACGCGAACCATGGTTGACTATGTGGGAGTCCAGCGACAGCCATTACGCTAACTGCTGGTTCCCTAAAAATTATTTTTGAGCTCCAAACAGTGAGAAATTAAAACAATATGAACATTTGGAATATATCATTGACCTATTCTTTTTGCTGTTGGACATGCCTAGTAAAATTATACTGAAAGAAGAATACTTCAATATTTATTGCACATCAGTACTTATACCCAAAGCGGAGGAGGAGTGGTGTGTTTGGGGAGTAAATTAAATCACTTCTGGAACCCCAAAAAATGTTTATTAAACTCTTGAGAAACTGAAGAGTATTTTCAAAGATTTTTAAAGGGATTTGCTGACTAATGGGACATGGAATTTTCCCCAAGTATATATTATTAATTTGTTCTTTTCTTTAATTAGGAAAATAAAAAATATTTCAAGCGTAGTGAGCTTGCCAAAAAAGAAGAGGAAGCATATTTTGAACGATGTGGCTATAAGGTATGAATGCCTGTTTTTATGTTAAGTTGTATATTTCTGAGTTTAAATTTATACAGCTGTTGTTAAATGACAAATTTATACAACTGTTGTTAAATGACAAAATGATTGATCTTTGTTCAATTTATCAATGTTATACATTAGCCTGTAAATGAGAAGCCATCTGGAGAGGTATGAGTTTTTGGTTTTGTCTTTAAATTTTCTTTTAGTCTTTTATTCAGGAAAATACATGCATGACTTTTGGCTTGGAATGGTTTGGCTTTTTGTGGACAGCATGAAGTGGCTTGAGATTAAAGCTTGAATTTTTTTTTAAATGAAATCGTGGATCTGATACTGCCTTATTTTCATCTCCACCATAACTCCTATTCCCTGCCTCTCCCAATAAACAAGTCTATTTTGGAAGAGTTCAAAACACTTTTTTCATTAAACAACACTTATATTAGCAGTGGTATTTTCTCTGCTTTTCCCTGAATATTTTGAGCCATCAATTTTATATCTGCATATTAAATCCCTTTTGGGTCCAAAGTACCCCTGAAATATAGCACCATATACAGTGATACACTTTTGTTGTAATAAGATACCACATTTTAGCCACTGCCTGGTCTATTGGATACCAGACATAATTTTGAAATTAATTTTTTTAGAAACAAGTAAATTTTCCAGAAGGCTTTTGTTTATATATTTTAGAAGCATAACTGAAATTGTATTTGAATTTACCTAGGTGTTAATACTGGATTTTTATTGGGAGGGGTTAACGGTTATGAGGTGGAGAAGGTATATTTAAATTATGTTAAAAGAAGGCTATCTTGTTCAAAACTTATTATTATAAAGTTAACTGGTTCTAGCAAAATACTTTTGCCAAATCATAAATTTGAAGTCAACCTTTGCTCGTGAACTGTTGTTATAAAATAATATTCTTGTGCATGTCATGGGGATGTTCTGGAAATTAATTTATCTGGCAAGGAATTTCCAGAAGGAAGCATGAGGAATGTGAATGGTATGTATACGCATTTGGATTTATTCTGTAGTGTGGGGAGAAAGCAAGAGTTAAACGTGTAGTTATCTTTCCAATAGGTTTTTAAAATATGAACGTTTATATTTGTATTTTGATAGTTTCCCACAAAGATACTGATTTCACTTGCTTCTATCATTAGTGTAAGAAATTAAAGTAAGGTTTATGTAGACAAACATTGAGTTGATACTCTGAGAGAAGAGTTCTCATTTTTCACTTACCCAACATGGTCCAACTCAGACTTGAGCTGGACTAAGAATCACTGACCACGGATTTAGTTTGCTGATGTGGTGCATTCCCAGATCCCTAAATTTGAATCTTTTCAACTTTTTGATAAGGAAGGAATATTATTTGATATAGTGATTATTTAGATAGTCTCAGTAATAGTAAAGTGCTTTTATTTTCCTTTTTTGCTTATATAGACAAAAGCACTGAAGCAAAATGCTTATTGTAAAGACATTGCTTGTCACTTTGAATCTGGCTGACAGAATGTCTTAGATCTTTCCCCAGAGCTACTAACGGCCATTATATAATTGAAAATGATTTTAGTTGTGAGATATTCTAGGGAAATAAAAAGGTAAGCACAGGTTTTACTTTATAAACATTTTAAAAAATATTTCCTTCTTGGTGGTAATGGTGATATAGTATTCATTGCTTTTATTTTTTTAAGAGTTATTTTATTTAACTTTATTTATTTTAATTTGACCAGAGAGAGAGACAGAGTGAGAGAGAGAGAGGGAAAGTACAAAAGGAAGCCACCAGGTCTGGGACTCAAACTGTGGTCAGCCATGTGGGAGTCCAGTGCCCTTAACCACCATACTTAACTGCCGGACCCGCTTTTATTCTTTTAATAGAAGATTTTTTTTTTTTTGGAGAGGTTTTCGCTATAGGGCGCATGCGCTCGCCAGACAAACAGAGAGAGACATAGAGACAGAAAGTGAGAAATCACCCCCCAGGGGGGATGGTCACGCCGCAATCCCTTCTCCTTCATTCTCCTCTCGGGATCTTGGGCACGCACGCACACGCGCCCGGCGTGAGTTTTAAGCCACCGGGTTCGGAACGCAAACCGTGGTCGACTACGTGAGAGTCCAGCAACATAACTATTATGCTAACTGCTGGTTCCCAATAGAAGATTATTAACCATTTTTAAAGAGCGGATGCTGATTTGGCCTGTGAAAATATAACTCAGTTAACTCTATCAATTAGTTATGATAAACATAATCTTTACCTAGCTGTAGAATCACAAATTATATAATTCTCATCATAGAGTTTTTCATAATTGAATGTGAATTTTTTCCTTAGTGTTAATCTTTTATATTCTTTTTCACTCCTACTTTGACATTTTAGATCTGTCTTTATTCAGATGGGAAACCATGTTTTATTATCTTTTTACAGACCACACAGTGGGGCTGAACTGTTTTCCTAAATTGTAACTTGGGCCAGAGATTCAAGATAATATATGAAGAGACTTTTTTCTCCTGGAGGTTCCTAGGACCAAGCATGTCCACCTCTTCCTTGGGTGGCATGAGCAGATAGATGCTGTTTTTCATTAGATTTCTGCAAGGTTCATAGCTCAGTTTATGGGCCAGTTTTGTATAGCTCTGGGAAATTTCCTACAGGTCCATGGTTTCTGTGCATTTGGAATAATGCATAACCTCTCAAAAAGCACAATAGGAAAAAAACTAGAACTTGAAGTTTCACAGATTTCTGTTGGAAAGTGATTGTTTTGTGTAGAGCTCATTTCGAAGGTAAGCAAGCATCAGATAACCTTTTAAGATGATTTTCTCAAAGGAGAAAAGCAAGTTGATTTTTTAAGAAAAAAGAATAATTCTTTAGACTCTGGAGAGAAAGTGAGTGCAAATCTCAGCCCTGTTAAGTTTTGATTTTGGAAACCATTATAGTTTATGTTTCTCTTTTATTGCAAGAATGCTGTCTCCTACATGCATGCTTTTTACTTGTGATGTCTCTGAAATAGATATGTTTGATAAGCTCTTAATAGCATGTACATTTATTATGAGCTCTTTCTTCAGAGGGATATTTAGAAAACCTTCAATATTTAAAACATGTTTAATTTCCACTAATAGCTAAGAGAATGGTAAATAATGAGGTATCTCTTAAAAGCTGAATTTCATTTATTTTGGCTATTAATATAGATACAGCCAAAAGAAGAGGACCAGAAACCATTAACATCGTCAAATCCAGTATTAGAACTTGAACTGGCAGAGGAAAAATTACCCATGACTCTTTCTAGGCAAGAGGTAAGTTTATATATGAGTATTTTGTGGGGGGAAAAAAAAAGATTAGATAAAAAGAAAAGACAAATCTTTGCAATGCTTTAATTTTTCTCTATTTTTTTCCAGTAAGTTATTTGTCATTATTTTCCATATAAAATTATTTACTGATCTAAAAATGCTTCGTAGCCAGACAGTTTTATGAAGTTCTAAATTAATACCTGCTTTTTTTCCTTGACACTGTTATCTTTTATTTTATTTTATTATTTTTTTTAATAAGGGGGGGACAGGATCCTCATCTAACAGGATCTTATCATACTATGATCCTCCTCACCCCAGCTTTCTAGCCAGCCAGGATCATAGGTGCACCCACAGGTGTACCCAGCATGGTCAGGTTGACCTGGGATCTGAACCTCAGACCTTTTTGTGTGGCTCCAGCTTTGAGTAGCAGTGCCTTACCACCACTATGACCTTAACTGTTTTGTAGTATATAGTCTCCTGAACTTTAAGAAATAAACATATGTTCTAAATTTGTATAATGTAATGTATAATATGTTTTGAATAATTTAAATTATTATTGGTCTAAATTTGTTTTCTCTATTTTTAATTGTAAGAGAGTACATGCACTCACTGAGGAGTGAGAGAGGGGGGTGGGGGGAGAATACTCCTGAGTGGGACATAGTCACACTGCAATCCCTTCCTCCATTTCTTCATCCTGTTAGGATTTTGGGCATGCGTGCAAACTGCCCCTCTCCCCAACCCCCGGCACCTTGCAAGCCTCTAGGGCTGGGATTCAAATCCTGGTCAGCCATGTGGGATCTGGCTCCCTTTAACCACTAGGCCATGGGGTTGGCCCAGTCTAAATTACTTTAACCAATGTATTATTTTGAACTTACTTCACTTTTCTTTATGTAATAGTATATCTCTCTAGGTTAAAATATAGAGATCTACATAATTTTTTTCCAGATATATCTTTTACTGGTAAATGTATGGTTTTGGGAAAATTATTTTCTGTCTTGATATTCTTATGTATGAATAAGGATAATAATAGGGTCTATCTTATGAGATTTTCATGATGGATTGAGGTAGTAAGTACCCAGTACATTGAGATATTATTTTAATATTACTTTTGTAATTTATTAAATTAGCCCTTTACCAATGGATATTTAGGTTATTTCCAGCTAATTACTATTATAAACAATGCTAAGGGATTTTAGCAGTAGGATAATTTCCAGAAAATAAATTTCTGATCAAGAGTATGTCCATTTAATTTTTGATGATATATCAAATTGTCCTATAAAGAAGCTCTGCCAATTTATTTTCTCCTGCAGTACCTGAGAGTACCATTTAAAATGTTTTGCCTTTGCCAGCCTGAAAGTAGTATTTTTTTTTAAATTTTGCCAAACTGATTTGTGAAAAGAGTATCTTATTTCTTAGTAATTATTAGAATTGAAGATGTTCTCATGTGTACAATGGTCATTAAAAGCTCTTCTTTCATGAAATTGGTCTTTCTGTTAATTTGTAAATCAATCTGTTTAATATTAAAGGTAAAGCATATTTTCATAGCGTATATAGTCAGAAGCACATATAATATGTATTCTTTATTCAGTCTGGTTTTTAAAAATAATTATTTTATTTAACTTGATTTATTTATTTATGTATTATTATTTGACCAGAGAGGGACAGAGCGAGAGAGAGAGAGAAGGAAAGTGAGAAAGCAAGTCACCAGGTCTGGGACTCAAACTATGCTCGGCCATGTAGGAGTCCAGTGCCCCTAATCACCACGCCACCTGCTGACCCTTACTCTGTTGTTTTTTGAAGTGCCAAAGTTTTAAATTTATATATAATCATATCAATTGTTTTTAGCATGTTTTGCCTTGGTGTCATACTTAAAAAGTTTTCTCCCATCCCCATGAGTCAAAAAATGGTATGTTAATGTTTTTTCACATCTTTATAAACTCATTCTTTGGAGTTTTTCTTTATATTTCAATTAATTTTGTATCTAATCTGAGTATAAATTATTTTTGTAATTATAAATGTACTTAAAATTTCACATCACCTTTTTTTTTTTCCTTAAGATGAGGAAGAGGAGGACTGTCTCTTCTTTCTTGTCTTTTATTTATTTGTTTGCTATAGGGCACATGTGCTCATTGGAGACAGAGGGAGAAACAGAGAGAGAGAGAAGGAAAGTGAGAAATCACCCCCAAGGGGCATGGCCACACTGCAGTCCCTCCTTCTCCATTCTTCTCTTTGGATTTTGGGCATATATACACATGTGCCTGGCTTGTCTTGTATTTTTTTTTTTTTCCTTTCTATGAGAGGATTTTGCTATAAGGTGTGTGTGTTTGCCAGAGAGACAGAGAGGCAGAAAGTGAGAAATCACCTCCCAGAGGGTATGGTCATGCTGCAGTCCCTTCTCCTTCAGTCTCCTCTCGGGATTTTGGGCACACACACACACACACACACACACACACATGCCCAGTGGGAGTTTTAAGTCATCAGGTCTGAGACTTGAATCACGGCCAACTATGTTGGAGTCCAGTCATGTAATCATTATGCCATCTGCTGGTCCCCTCCCAGCTTGTATTTTAAGTCACCTAGTTTGGGACTCGAACTACTCAGTTGGCTATGTGGGATCCATTTTCCTCTACACTACCTGCTGGCCCCTCATGTCACATTTTTTCTTTCAGTTAAGGTTTTTGCCATAGGATGTGTACACTCACCTGAAAGAAACAAAGATAGTGAGAGGGAAAGTGAGAAATCACCTTCAAGGGGGAATGACCAAATCTCCATCCTTTCTCCTCCATTCTCTTGGGATTTGGGGCACATACACACACACACACACACACACACACACACACACACACACACACACACACACGCGCCTCGCACGTAAGCTGCCAGGTCCAGGACTTGAACCACAGTCAGCCATGTTGGAGTCCAGCACCTTAACTACCATGCCACCTGCTGGCCCCTCTATCTGATTTTGAACGTTGAAAAGTTTAGACTAAATGGCAAAATAGTTTTAAGAAGTTGGTCATTTTCTGAGATTCAGGATTGTTAAATCTGTTTCTGATTAATAGTTCTATTTTAATTAAACACTAAACATCATTTAGGAAGATACTACTCCAGCTTTCACTTAAGGAGCTTCTGTTGAAATAGTAGAGAACTCAGAACTTTAAATTCTTTCCCTGGTGTCACTTTTGGTCTGTGTCATTAAAAAAAAGTCTCAGTTTCTGTATTTAAAAAATTAGAATATGCCCAGCTATTGTGGCACAGTGGTAATATAAGTGCCCTGCAGTGCTGGAAGCCATATGGCCAGCCACTGGTTTGGATCCCCAGAATGGCCTGAAAACAAGCCTGATGTGCATGCAGATGCTGAGGAGGATCTTGAGGCTGGAGGCCTAGGGAAAGGGTTGTGATGTGACAGGACCCTACTGAGGGTGCTTCTCTCCCCTTCTTTTTTCACTCTTTAACATGCTTGTGCACATGCTATCATTTAAAAAAAGATAGTAGAATTCTTACACTGAAAGGAGTTTTGAGGTCAGATAGTGTATTCTCTTTCGCTTTGGCAGAGCAACAGTTACATAATCCCAGATATATGCAAAGTAGCTATTTAAACTGATAACCAGAAAAATATTACATAATCCTCATAATTTGGTCTGAGTTAATAGCCCCCAATTTAAAAAAAAAAACTTTTTATTTGTTAGTAATATTATTATTTTTAAATTTATTTTCAGAGACAGAGAGAAGGGCGGAAAATAAGAAAGCAAACTACCAGGTCTAGGACTCAAATAGCGGTTGGCCATGTGGGAGTCCAGTGCCACCTACCAGTCCCAATAGCCACAATTTTAAGTTTGTTTTAAAGTGATAATTAGCTCACATTCCCCTTCCACACCTGTATTTTTTTTCCCTGTTTAGGTTTTTTAGTCTTTGATGGACTCATACTGAAACAGTCACCTTTGATTTTTGAGAGCCCTCACTCAGCTCCATCTATGTGTTGTACAGATCTAGTTGTAGATAGGACTGGACGGGAAATATAGAAATACAGCATCTAGATTGAAAGATTGTGTATTTTGAGCTTCTCACAGATTGACACATTTGCAGTACTTTTAGTTCTGAATAACACATTTTTAGGGTGGATATTGCACAGAAGGAAATTTTCAGAGGAATGTTGACTGGCTAGGAAGCTATTGAGAAATTTAGGTGAAGAAATTTGGAATACTTAACCTGAAGAGAGAATTATTAGAGACATTTTTAAAAACCTGTAGAAGCAGCTCTAATTTTGGAAAAGAACTGAATGTTCTCTGTGGTTTCATGAAATAGAACAAGGGTAAATGGACAGAAGTTTGAGAGACGTAGCTTTTGGTTCTGAGATGCAAAATATTAATGTATCTGTCCAAACTGGGATGGGGTGTTTTTTTATAAAGAAATGTAATTCCTGTCCCTTGTTAAGGCTCTAACAAGGATTTTCTTAGGTCATTTCTGTATTGATTGGATATAGCACTGGATAGCACCTCTTATATTTCTGTTTTAATTCCCAACTTTTGTTAATCCAGTGGAAGCCCTACTACCGTTTTGTAGATGTGATGGTATTTATGCCTCAGATATAGTTGTTGGTGTTTGTAATTTTTAAAAATTTTTTATTAACCTTTATTTTCCTAATTACATTTTTCTCTTTTTTTGAACTATAGTGTGTATACAAAGAGTATATAAATCATACATGTGAGATATAATGGGTAATTGTAATACATATACCCACATAACCATTACCCAAGTCAAGAAATATAGTAGTAGACTGGCCCTGTAGCCCAGTGGTTATGCAGAGGAGTCTGATCCCATGTGTCTGACTGGGTTCATGTCCCCATTGACTTCACACCAACCCCATGAGCCTGACATGACAGAGAATTGGAGGAAAAAAGGATTGTGGCATGACCGAGCCTGTTGAGGGACGTTTGTTCTCTCTCGAGTCTGCTATAATAGAGTATATTAGCACTTCAAAAGCCCTGCATGTGCTCCGCTCATCATAACACACTTTTTTTTTTTTTGGGGGGGGGGGGAAGTTTTACTGTAGAATTAAATGCCAGCTCTCTGTTACGGTTATTGAGTTACCAACTGACACAAACTTTACTTTCCTTACCTCTTTTTTTTTTTTTCTGGAGAGAGAGATTTTTGCTATAGGGCATATACGCTTGCCGGAGAGACCGAAAGTGAGAAATCACCCCCCAGGGGGGATGGCCACATTGCAATCCTGTCTCCTACATTCTCCTCTTGGTATTTTGGGCAGGCACGCACACGTACCTGGTGTGAGTTTTAAGCCTCTGGATCTGGAACTCGAACCATAGTCAACTATGTGGGAGTCCAGCAATGTAACAATTACGCCATCTTCTGGTCCCTACTTTCCTTCTCTTCATAATTATCCTCATTTCCTCCTATCTTAATGTTTTTCCTGGGTAACCTATACTTAATTACTGGTCTGTACTGGCACAGCCCCCCAAAGGACCTAAACTGTTATCACTATTTCAGGCATGATGATAATACAGTAGATCTGTTCCTGAAAAATTGAACAAAAATAAACACTACTTACTTTTTCCATCTGCATTTCAAAATAAATGTTTAGTCACCTAAAATATGTTCATTTAAGAGATTACTATTATCTTTTGGTATTATTCTTTAAAGAGGACTCAGAACAGTGGTAATTATATAAATAAGGACCCAAAGTGTATTTCTTTTCTACATTCCTACAAAGCAGGACTTTTTTTGGTCTTCTAGAAAAAGGATGGTTTATATTAGGGGCTTCCTTTAGATATGAATCATAGATTCATGGTTTAGACCACTTTCTAGGAGCTGTTCAGTAATAAAGCTTACAATATTTCAGTCAAAATAGATTTTTACTAAAATACTTGATTTTTCTTTCCTTCACAAACATCTTTGCTTAACAAAATTGAAACAAATATTTGAAGCTTATATTTTACTTAGACATTCATCCTGCTTGCTTTGTTTAGCAGTAAATCTTTCATATTCATCCACTTTCTATCATAAGCTAGGGTCTCATTGTTTTTTTATGACTGAGTAGCTGAGTAGTGGTCCATGGTGTTTATGTGATACACCTTTTCAATCCATTTGGAAAATTAAATTAACTTTATTAAATCCAGATTTCAATTTTAAGATGTGCCAATATTGGGTCAACAGAGGGCATGGTGGTTAAGGTGCTGGTCTTAGCACATGCCCAACTGTGGTTCGAGTCCTAGATCTGGTGACTTGCTTTCTCAGTTTCCCTTACTCTCTCTGTCTCTCTCTGGTGAGCTCATGTGTCTTCTAGCAAATTAAATAATAATAAGAGTAGTAAATTAGATAAATAATTCTTAAACAAACAAACAAAAAACAAAAACATGTGCAGGAGTTCCAGCAGCTCGGGCGGCAGGAGGAGCAGTAGGGTCTATCCGCTCAGCTCCACTAAGGTTCTAGGCGTGCCACAGTCCCCCTGGCACTCAGCACACACCCTGTCTGCAGCCAAGATGCCCAAGAGGAAGGTCAGCTCAGCCCAGGGGGCAGCCAAGGAAGAGCCCAAGTGGAGATTGGTGAGGTTGTCAGCTAAACCTGATCTTGCAAAAGTGGAGACAAAGCCAAAAATGGCAGCAGGGAAGGATAAATCTTCAGACAAAAGAGTGCCAACAAAAGGGAAAAGGGGAGCAAAGGGGAAACAGGCTGAAGGGGCCAGCCCAGACACCTGCAGAAAATGGAGAAACTGAAAATAAGGAGAGCCCATACTCTGATGAAGCAGGCGAGAAAGAAGTCAAGTCAAGTCTGAATAATGTCATATACCATGTCTTATCTATGGTCCCTGTCTCCCTTCTTGTACAATGCAGAGGAATATTTCTATCAACTATTTTATAAATGCAAGCTTTTTAGTAGCTCTAGAAACATTTTTAAGAAGGAGGATATCTCACCTCACCCCATTTTTTAAGTGTAAATCCTTTTTTTTTTTTTTAAGAGGTAAAATAATTTACTGGTTATTTATTTTTGGTACAACCAGAAAATAGTGGGATATTGACTTATAGGAGGCTTTGACTCTCTTGCATGTCAGCTTAACATTCCGTAGGTGGGGGTGGGTGGGTAGTTTTTATATCCTAAATACAAAGCATACTAAAGGGCAGTTTGGAGTCACGGTCTTGCATTTAATGTGTCTTGAATATTTTAAATTACTTTTATTATGTTTTTTTAGTAGTATTGTTTCCTAAAGAAAACTACTCTTCGATTTTTGCTCTCCCTGTCAAAATCGTGTGCACTCTATAACATCTTTGGTCATGGTAGTCCAGTTTTCCTAATAGTTTTGTTAATGTGCTGCAAAAGATTGGAAATTTGAGTATGTAGTGCGTATGATACTAAATTGTGATTTGGTGTGACCTACATAACAGCTATCAACATTTGAAGACAGTGGTACTTAATATCCTCTTAATTTGCCTACAAATTTGAAGCTGGAATGTCACTGGAATAACTTAAAAAGAATTATGATACTTGGCTTTTAAAATTTTGGGTATGTATGTTAAGGAATTGGGTACAAGCTAAAATGTCTGTACGGGTCCTCGCTACAACCAATAAATTTCAATTACAACAAATAAAAAGATGTGCAAATATTTTTAAGATGATTAGTTTTTTTCCTCTCCTTGAAGTTATTTGTTTGTTTGTTTGTTTGTTTTTATAGGTTATCAGAAGATTGAGAGAAAGAGGAGAACCAATCAGACTATTTGGAGAAACTGACTATGATGCTTTTCAACGTTTAAGAAAAATAGAGATCCTCACGCCAGAAGTTAACAAGGTAGGAAGTTGGAATAAATCTAGAAAAACAACACTGCATTGCATCAACTAGTAGTATGGAGCCGACTGCTTGCATCATTGTAGGTGAAAATGGAAAAATAAAATTGGCAGGTCACTATTGCTGAAAGTACTTTTTAAATAAGGGTTACAGATCTGAAGTGTACAGTTCAGTGCATTTTGACAAGTACCTATGAGCATATAACTACTACCCTTATAAAGCTCTAGGACATTTTCATAGCCCAGGAAAGTTCGCCAGTGCCCCTTCTCAGCCAGTGCTCATCTCTCTCTCTTTTTTTTTTTTGATAAGTTTTTGCTATAGAGCGTGTGCGCTCGCCAGAAAGACAGAGAGGGATGGAAAGCGAGAAATCACCCCTGGGCGGGATGGCTAAACTGCAATCCCTTCTCCTCCATTCTCCTCTCAGGATCTTGGGCATGCACACACACGCGCCCAGTGTGAGTTTAAGCCACTGGGTCCCGGACTCTAACTGCAGTTGACTACATGGGAGTCCAGTGACATAGCCATTACGCTAACTGCCGGTCCCACTCATCTCCTTTATTCCTGGGCAACACCACATCCTTTTGAATTCTGTCATAAAAGTTAGTTTTATTTGTTCTAGCATTTCATAGAGTTTGTGTCTGGCTTTTGCTCATGAAACACTTTTTAGATTGATCCATGTATTTACAGATCTCGTTTTCTTTTATCTACTAGCTCTATCCATCACTGAGAGACAGCTACCTATGACTGTAAAACACATAGATCACCCCAAAACTTGGCAGTGTAAACTATTATTGCAAAGTCTTTTTTGGTTATTTGTGACTGTAACAAGTCACCCTGAAACCTGGCAGCTTAAGAGAATTTATTATTGTCTCTTATAGTTCTGTGGTTTGATTAAGCTAAACCGGACAATTTTAGGCTTAGGGTCTTTCATCTGAAAGCTTCCTGGACTGGTCATCTTAGATGGTATCCTCACTCATGTGTCTGGCATCTCAATTGGAATAGCTGAGGCTGACCAGGCGTCTCTTTGTTTCCACATGTTCTCATTGGCTAGCTTGGGCTTCTTCCCTGATTTCCTTATTTATTGCCAAATCACTTTCCAGCTTCCTTTCTCAACATTGGCATTCCAGTCCCTTGTACTTACGGTTGCTCTAACACTTTCAGTCCTGTTTGTCTGTAATGACAAATTTCCTGTGCCTGCTGTGCTGCTTTCTTTATGCCTTCATTGAAATCTTGTACTTACACTTTCAGACACAATTAAAACATTACATTTCTTTCTGAACTTACTATTCTTGGTCCCAGTTAGAATTAATTGCTTCCTTCTCCGTGCTCCTATAATAAGCAACTGTCTGTGCACTTACTGTGTTCATTAGTAGTAGAGTGGGCATGGTCTGTTTTATTTTTGTGTGCTGGGTCTAGTGCCTTGCATATAGAGGTTTTGAGGAAAAAGCATAGGAGGACAAGACTGGGTTTATGTTCCTGGGTTATAATTGTCAATTATGTGACCATTGGCAAGTCTTTTAACCTACTTGGTTCTTAGAATCCTCATTTGTAAATAGCGGCAGTGTTATCTGGCTTACCGGAATTTTTGACAATCAGGCAACCTTTGAGAACACTTGGCATTATACATGGCAGGTACTCAGTGTTTAGTAAATTAGAAGTATTTTGCATTGTTTGCTTGTCTTTTGTGTTTATGGAAGAACAGTAGACAATGATCAGATACTTCTAATACAGTCACAGAGTTAGCATTTGTTAAATGTGTGTAGTGGTCTGATAGCTGTTCAAAATGCACTATATGTTTATTAACATACTCAAATGACTTGGTATTTGTAGGGCTTTGGGAGCAGTTCCAACACATAGAACATGTTAAATAAAAGATATTTTCACAGTAACCCTACATAGTAGATGGCATTATTATTTCCATTTTATGGGTGAGTTACTGAGGCATACAGGGCTTACAGTAAGCTATCCAAGAGTTAATTAAGTGGCAAATATTGAACTCAGATAACCTTCACTCTCAACCATTACACCACAAGCCATCTCTTAGCCATACTTTATGGCTTGTAAATCTCATTGCTGATTCTCATTCATGTTGAGGAAACTGAGGCTTTCATTTTTTTTTAAGTGTTCATAAACTGAATATTCCTGGAATGTGGAATTTGTTTGTTAGAGACATTGTTGAATGCGTAGGGTAAAGATGAGATACCAGCTTTCTTTTCATTGCCATTTTTGAATGTTTAAGGAGTTCAAAGTAGTTTCATGTGAACTGGAAAAATGAGTTGGATACTCTAATGGAGACCTGATCACTTTCACTATGCCTCATTAGAAAATTACACACATATGAAGATTTTTATTTGAATTATTATTCATATATTCTGTGTTTCTGGCCATCAGACTGGTCGTTGTGCTTTTACATTAAATATATTCTTAAGCATTAACTTTAAAGAGATAGTAATGATAGTATCAATATTATAGATGGTATTGTAAATTGGTATCTTGTTTTAGTTCTGAATTTGCTGAACTCTTAATTCTTTGTGGAGAAATAAATGAATTGTACTTTTTAAAAAAATTAATGAAATTTCATAGATATATTACTTTTTCACTTTTTTTAGGGGTTGAGGAATGATCTGAAGGCAGCTTTGGATAAGATTGATCAGCAATACCTCAATGAAATTGTGGGTGGTCAGGAACCCGGAGAGGAAGACACACAGAATGACTTGAAAGTTCATGAGGAGAATACCACCATTGAAGAGTTAGAGGTATTCCATACCCAGCGCAGACCATTCCCCATCACACCTTTTGTCTTTGGAGCAGATGGTTGAGTTAATCAGATAATTCAGTTCCGAGCATACTATCATTTTTGGTCAGTGCAAAGGCCCCTTTCTTGTTTCATGCCTTTATCCATTATTCTCCATTCATATTCCCCTACTTCCTGCCTTCAGAAGTAATCATTCTAATACATTCAATGTGGAATCTTTTATCCCTTGGCATTCTTGTAAAAGCCTGTAGTGTTTTGTGTACATATATTTTTGATTTACATAAATAGATATTGTGCCATGAAATTCTTTATTCTATTTTTTAACTTTTCTCTACTAAGTCTTGTTTTTCAGATTCACCTTTTTTTTTTTTTTTTAAGAGATTTTTGCCTTAGGGATCATGGGCTCACCAGAGAGAGAGACAGACAGACGATGAGAGGGAAAGTGAGAATCACCCCCTAGAGAGGATGGCCACACCGCAATCTTTTCTCTATTCTCTTCCTGGGATCTTGGGCTTGCACGCTTGCGCACCTGCTTGAGTTTCAAACTACAGAGTCTGGGACTCAAACTGCAGTTGACCATGGGGGAGTCCAGCCACGTAACTGCTCTGCCATCTGCTGGCCCCTTTAGATTCTTCCTTAATAGTTTATGTACATTTAATCCTTTGCTTTTAATTGCTACATGATGGTCAGTATAATATTTCCTACATTTTACCTTTACTCCTTGCCAGCCCCTACCTGTGATGGACAGTAGGATTGCACCCACTTCCCTATTATCACAAACAGCTTTGTAAAGAATATTCTTGTTTATAATCACTATGGACCAAAAAATCAGGATTGTGGGATTTATGTCCACATATATTTAACTTGTCTAAATATTGCCAGGTTGCTTTCTGGAATGGCTGACCCGGTCTACACGACTGCCAGCAGCGTGCAAGGGTCTTGTGGCCTCATATCCCTGTTAGCACTTGTCTTTCTGATTGTTGCCAGTGTTGAGTATGGGATGAAATATGTCTTGATAATTAAAAGGCAGTGTGGTATTGTATAAGTATCTGGCATGTGAAAAAATGGTTTAAAGTTCTTAAAGTTTAATAAAACATAAGCTGTTATTTTTTTGTTTCCTCTGATTGTTGGCTCTTGGATATATCTCAGTCTCTGTGAGTGAGATCATAATTGCGGAAGATGCCATTCTGATAACCTCTCACTCTAACACCTGTCTGGGGACCCCAGATTTTACTGGTGTTGACAACCAGTGTGGTCCTGTTGTCCTTCCTTCCCTTTTTTCTTTCCATTTTTCCTTTTTTTTTTTTTTAACAGTTTATTGAAGTATTCATATGCCATACAGTAAAGTATACAATTCACTGTTTTATTTTTATATGCTCATAGGGTGTTGCAGTCATCATCACAATTTAATTTTAAAACATGTTTATTTTCCCAGAAATAAATCTTATATCCATTAACAATCACTTTTCTTACCCTTTTCTTTTGATTCATAAAAGATAGTATGTTCTCTAAATGTAAGTGGCAAATTTGTGTTTTTTAACTAGTGTTAATAATTTTTTTTTGAAGATTTTTGCCATAGGGCATGTACACTCACCAGAGAGAGAGTAAGAGAGCAAGTGAGAACCTTACCTCCACACCCTCCAGGGATGGTCATGCCGCAGTTCTTTCCCCTCCTTTCTCCTGGAATTTTGGGCACACATGCACATGCACTGCAGTTGACCATGTGGGAGTCTTAACACCTTACTCACCACGCCACCTGCTGGCCCCTGTGCTAATAATTTTTAACGTACATAGAAATCCCATCAGGTTTTTAAATAAAAGTTGACCAGTATATGTAACAAAGAACCATATTTAGATTGTTATTGATAATATATATACTTAGTTTTTGCTCTTTTTTAAAAGAATTATTCATTTAATTCCATTTGTTGTTGTTATTATTATTATTATTATTTTAATTTAACCAGAGAGTAAGAGAAAGGGAAGGTAAGAAAGCAAGTCACCAGGTCTGGGACTCCAGCTGCTGTTGGCCACATGGGAATCCAGCACCTTTAACCACCATGCCACTTGCTGGCCCCTGCTGTTTATTATTGAACAGAAACACTGTTGCTATTACTGCCTTTTTTTTTT